GGATGACGCCATCTTGGATTCACAATCACGAGGTCAAAATTGTTTACATCATAAATATATATTTTTTCACATTTTGATCTCAAAAAACAAATACAATATCAAAAATACTGACAAAAATCAAAACTTAGAATAATAGTACTACTACATTTCTAAAAATAATAATGAAAATACGTGCAATGCATTTGTAGTTAGCCAGGAAACTTACAGTCTGCGAGAGACTGAAGAAATCAGATCACGGGATAAATAATAGCATCGCGGAGGAAACACATAGCGTCGCGGGCAAATCCGATCGCGTCGGGGCCCGCGACGCTGTTTTGGCCTGGGGAGAACACTGGAAATAAAATACTAGGCCTCCAGAATATACACAATGGTAATTTTGACTCTCAAACTCCTGGATTTCAATAATTCTAGTAATGATATGAGATTATACTCACCAGCTCTTATGTAGTCATGTGCTTTTTTCTCAATATCTGGAGTGACTTTATCTGTTGCTGTCAGATACAATAAAACATATATGCTTGGTGCTGTGTAAATCAATGTTTGTTCTCCACAACCGGTTGGTTGTCTTAATAAGCCTTGTAAATTGTCACCAATTACAGCACTAACTGTAGGACCCATTAGATTACCTAAATAAGAATCAAACAATATGAAAATAATTATACACATGCAAATGATTGTAGAAAATAATATGAATTTCACCAAACCAGAGAGATCACCATTTATACAATACAGAATAACGATATAGGCAATAATGTGAAATGTTTTCTTGTACAAGCATAATACCTCAAACAATATATTATTCCCCATAATAAGATAACACAAAGATATAGCAAACCATTAATGCATAGAACATGGTGACATGGATTTGTGCCTACTGATCCCCCTGATGTACTGTGTTCATACAGACTTTGTAATAACTTGCAAATAATCTTAGGACTATACATTATTACATATGTACTGCAGTTTATTTTGATTCGTCCCTGGAATCAAAATCGGTATTGCCACACCCCATATGCAAATGAGGTCTGAGAGTACCGTTTTTCAAAACATATAACAGAAATAAACAATATTTAGAAGTACGATATTTTTCCCTTGGGGTACATGAATATACTTGCCAAGTAAAATAAAATTTGAACAAGAGTAATGGTACTTTTAGGCAGTCACTTATTTTGACTAAAACTAATTTGCATATCACTCATGCAATAATGTTTTCGGTATTTTCACATTCGATATGCAAATGAACATGGTATTTCTATTGGCAACGAACTATTTTTATTTTGTAAACAAATTTTCGTCTACTATTATTTTCTGGTTCAAATCATTTAGCTACATTTTTGGCACATCAGGTGTACATCACATGGAATACTACGATTGGGAGAACTTAATATGTTGACCACCTGGAAACTGAGTTTTATAAACCCTGTAATCAGCGATTACAAGGAGACGCAACGATCAACTTTGAGGTACCAGGAGGTTTCTGCTGGCGACTTTGCAGTGTTACTCAGCTCCAAATAAAGATTACGAACAAAATTTTAACCGGTAACCAAGACTCATTCAATCTACAACGGCCAGCAAGCAACATCACAAACAAAGTTGAAGCGTGCAGCTCAGCGACGACCGCTGTCGACGAAAGTAATCCTGTCAGTGGAGAACTGCAGGTGCACGAGATGCGATGTATTCTGCTGCTTCGCTCGTGAAAGTACGGCCACAGGATACACCGCATCACTCGTGAAAATAACTTCCATAAGCAACGAAAGTCACGGGGATGGTGTGGAGTTCTGTCATACAATTGTGAAATACTTTATTTTAGCTGAAGTTAATTTTCGCTGAAAAGGCTTTTTGTATGTTTTGTATGGCATTAATTTTCACTGACTTTTGATGAGTTGAATGTGAAATATGGGAAAACGGGTATATTCACTGAATTTTATTTTCACTGAATCATCCCTATGGAAATAAAGTATTTTACAGTAGTTAAAGACAAAGGATATGATGATGTAAAATGATGAACCATATTAATTATTGCAAAATAATGTCACAGCTACTAAGTTACAATTTACTTACCAACTATATTAACACGGCACTCCGCAGAGCCAGGCACAACATCAGGAGGCATCCTAAGATCAAGTACATTGTGCTGATTCTGATTCTGGATGTCTACGTAATCTTAAATAAAAAATTAAAAAATTACATTTCCTGCTGTAAGTATCTTATAGAAGAAAATATTTTGTCAGTTCTTATGTAATTGTTCATTTACAAGTCAGTCTACATGTTGTCACAGCTCAGGAAGCAGCATGTTACCATAAACACTTTAAAATTTCAACCACTTTTGAATAATCAAGTTTGAAAAATTAAAATCAGTGATTATAGAATTGTTAGATACGTGGTGCATCACTTGTTGTCAGAAAGCAAGATTCTTGCTGTTGAGATAATGGAAGAGGTCAAAATCAACTCCAATGTATCGTACTGAAATTTTTCACAGCAAAGCAAAGAAATAAATTTTTTGTTATCAAAACCATGACTGAATGATGTAATGTTAGAACCTAGGAAAAGAAGGGTATTTTTGAGTATCTGTCAACTTTTTAGATGATCTTTGCAAGTCAAGTTTAATTTTTCCATTGTCCATGGCATTATCTACCATTCTTCAATAATGTTTGTTTTCATTGAAGAACAAATCTGAGAATTTCAGAGAACCAAAAAAGACACAATTCTGTGTTCACTTGAAATTATAGAAGCCAATAAAATATTTTTCTTTCTTTAATTTTGTTGTGCATTGAAAGCGACTGGTATTGCTCTCGACTTATTTATGTTTTTGCAAGTACTGACACATAGTGTTTGACCATCTTCCTATTATAGTGGCATTACAGCAATTTAATTTCTATCGCTATCTTAATGTCAATTGGTGTTTGTTCAAATAATTAAGTGGTTGAATTTTAGGAAGAGGCGAAAGTTTTAAGTTTTAAAAAATTTTAATTTTGTCATTACTGGATTTGTATCTTTGTTTGTTTTTTTCTGCATAGCTTTTTTTTTTATATGGTCTAAGTTTAGCACTGTAAATTGTCACTTATATTGTAGTTGTTTTAATGTATTATTCTAACAAATTTGGTAATAAATCTTGGAGTTCATTCATTACTGCACTTGGGAATCTGGTGTTTATTTGAGACAAAACCTACTAGATTTTACGGGGGAAAAACACTTTATAACATAGAACATTTCAATTTGGTTCCAAGGCAGGACGTCACAGTAACTTGATGATATTGTGTTATTATAATATACTTCAAATCGTCAAAATCACCAACAAAATTTGCGATAAAAATTAAATGGTTGACAGTATCATGAATATGTATGTATGCATTCAGAAAGCGTTAATACATTTTTTTTCAGATTTAGTACTAAGCATAACATACCTTACACATGTTGCATGATAGATAATTTTTAATTCACGCAGACATCATTTGTTTCACAGAAATCAATATTTCATGATACATCTACATTTATATATAATGAAACATAAATATTGACTTACCATTGCTTGCAAAATCATGGTGATTATGATTGTTTTCTCCATTATTGACTTCTTGTACTTCATTTCGCATCAACCCAGAAGGATCAAGGAACACTGAATGCACAAAGGAGCGTTCAACACCAGCAGGCTGTTATAATGAAATATATCTAGTTTTTAATGAGAAATCTCTGCAATCTCTACACCACTCACTCATTCACTCAGGATATACAGAAATGTAAATGTTAATATCAGCTTACCTCAACTTTCAGTATTTTTTCCACAATGTCACCACCAGCTGGACTGAAAGCACTGATTCTTATTGGAAATTCACCAACACTCATTGGAATAACAGGGAATGTAATAGACGTTGCTTCCTTTGCTTTCACAATAAATTCTTTTCTCTCACTCCTTTCTCCTGGTTTGGCCTCAGAACAGATGTCATCTACTCCATACAAATATGCACGTACCTAACAAAACAAGAAATATACCTAATCAGTGGAATGACCAACAATAAGGTACAAGATGCCTGAATGATTAACAAGTCATTGTCAATGACATAGTTTCTATTTGTATTATAGATATGAGATATATATATATATATATATATATATATATATATATATATGAACTAATGTGTGATTGTATGTGTTAGGTTTAAACTTGATTGGTCCAGGCATGTCGAATATATAAATCAGAAACTATGTTCTTTTAAACAAAATGGCCACCAATCAGCCATTTTGATCAATGTCCCATTATGTTCAATGTATGTACCAACTCTGTCCTTGGCACGACTGAGATTGGGTTCTAGAATGGTGAAAATGTGTGATTTTGAGTCATTTTTGACCTTGAAGTGGCTGCCAATTGGATCAGCTCAGGAAAAAAATTCATACAAATATGTCTGATATAATGTCTGATGTTTGTATAAAGTTTAAAATTGGTCCAGACATGTCAGATATATGGACCTGGAACTGCATTTTTTGAAATAAAATGGCTGCCATTAAGCAAATTTGAACTTGATCCAAAAAATAAAATGACATGCAACAATATTGTGTTAAATGTATATAACAAGTTTAAACCATATATGCAACAACACAAGACTGAGATTTGATTGTGGAATAGTGATGTGTGATTTTGATGTATTTTTTATATTAAAATGGCTGACATTCAGCCATCTTGAATAGGAACATGAAATAAATACATGTGGATAACTCTGATATAACGTCTGATATATGTGTGATATATAGCTAGATACAGACAGACGGATGCACACACACACATGCACACACAAATAATTCTGTAATTCATTATATACATAATTCACATGAAAGAATGGTGCAAAACATATAGCAAATTTGTAGCAACACATAGTTGCTTATTAACAATCTAGACATATTGTCAATCCAGGTATAACAAGTCATTGTGAATGACATAATTAATTGCAAAATTCAGGACAAGCAACCATGACCTTAAAATTGATAGTGGCAGACATAATAATGTGCCGCTGGATAAAAGAACATGTGATATGTGCAGCCAAAATATAGTTGAGGATGAGCAACATTTTGTAATGAAATGTCCAGCTTACAGTCACCATAGGGACAAATTATTCCTGACTGCACAAAATAAAGTTCCAAATTTTGATAAATAAAATAGTCAGAATAAATTCATTTTGATTATGGCAAACCATACTCTAGCACCAGCCTTAGCTGTCTTCTTAAAAAACAGCTATGGAACAAAACAGCAACAACTATCAGTGTATTAGGCTACATTTTGCGTTTATTCCATATTCTGTATTCACCATTGGTTGCAAATTGTCTTTATTGTTTTTGATTTTTTTGATTTTTTTTAGAAAAGTTTTTATTTTTTGTTTTCTTTTTTAGATTGTAGTTTGTTTTAATTTCTTTCTGTGAGACCCTTTTTATCCTTTCCTAAGGATTTTATGCGTCTATTAAAAAAATATATAAATATACTGTGAACCATTCTCCATGAATGAATAAATAGCTCTCTTGTGATGGGACATTTATGTGACATACATGGGTGAAAACAATGCCATTCAAATTGACAACTGTATTTGTAGTCATTCGTCATCTAGAGTAGAGTAAAATGGCCGCCAGTCAACCATTTTTAAGTCCAATCTGACAAACAAAGTGACATACATTAAGATCCCATACATTTCAAAGAACATAGTTTACAGGTATGACCAAATCTGTCTATGCATGACTGAGATCCAGAAATAAAATTGCAGAAATGCTTGATTTTGATGATTGCAATTCGGCCATATTAAATCGAATAAGCAAGTGAATAAATACACACACGTGCATATATGTAATTTAATAATTTTTTTGAGTGGGGTGTTCAACTAAGCACTCACTCCTTTGTTAGCTGAATACCCTGGGTGGTAGGTTGGTTGAGTTTTTTATATGTATGTTATTCATTTATTTCATAGAAGTGCTGGGTTGATGCATTTAATCATTGAATGTACAAAAATACCAAATACAGTTTCCTTTTTCAATCTTCTAATTATTTAAAAGACATTATAGAAATTATCACAGCGCAAATTGTCACTGTGATTTTTTAGTTATTGTAGGCATACTACAGCACAGCTCTAAACTCTTTTACCAAAATGTTAGTGTGACGTTAACGTAGATGTGTACCTGAAAAAATAACTTCTACGTTGATAAACCACAACCCCAGTATATAATTATATTATAAATCTCATAGAGGTAGATTTCATACTTACAATAAGATCATGTTCACCATAGTTGAAGACAGCTGCTCTTATTTCAATCTGTTCCCCCTTTATAACAGAATAGGGTAAACTCAGTTGAATAAAAAATTCCTTGAATGCTAACAACTCAAATGGCTCTGCAACACACATGCCTGTATCACGGCTCACACCAACTGCCTGTACAATCCACTGAGTCAAACTACTTGGTACAGTCACGGGCAATATCATCTGTCCATTATCACTGCAAAAAAAATGTAGTCCTTTGAAAATTTAAAGTTCCAATTTGCTAATAATGAATATTACCCATGATGCCAATGTGATTTAAACAAGATATTGGTAAAGTCTGTGGTGCGTTGTAATATTACTTTAACATCTAACCAACTACCAATGCAAATTGCATGTAGGAAGCAAGAAACCATCTTTTCCTAGGGTCTATGGTAAGTCAACTACAACTAAGTACTGGTAGGATATTAATGTCTACTATGAATGAATTGTCATGAAGGGCAACAAGATTAGCATGGACAATAATATTGAATGGTATACCGGTAATGGCTAGAATACCAAAGTTTGGTATGTAAAAGTATTAAAAGTATTTTGACTCACTCTAGAAACTCATCTGCAAAAATCCATGTCTCTGGGAAATCTGATCTCACTTGCAACTCAGATTCATCCTCTATAATATTTTCTGCATCAGTCCAGCCATCTTCAAAGACACCAAGTCTACCACGATTATCAGTTGCAATCAACAATGCATTGACACAACAATCAATAAAAGCGATAACACGTGGATCTTGTAAGGGTAACACTTCCTCAAATATGCCTTCTACGGCTTGTTCTTCACAATAAATGTCAACATCAATACCACTCAATGGAGCAGTTCTAGTACGTATCTGGCCTTCCTCACAGTAGTTTCTCAACACTCCAGTATACTCTTCAGCTTGAAGAAAAAAATTATTTTTGTTAAGTGATGAAACAAGACAAGGACGGTGGAGATTTTTGTTTCTGTCTTCATCTCCTAACAGAGATATCTTTTAATATAATTTTCCTCTCAAGCCAGACCCCTCTTTTTGCTCGTTTCAGCTTTCAGGATAAGTCTTGACAACATAACAAACTACAAGCAATACACTTGTGTCGGAATGCTAGGTTCAACTATAACAGAATTCATTTATACATGGTCAGCAACAATTCCAATCATGCAGACTTTATATTTGATATAAAACCCACAATTTTGTTTATAATATTAAGTGATCAATAAACTATTACTAACAGTATTCGATATATAAAAACAGAACACTAACAGAAGAGTCAAGACAACTTATGTGGCTATTCTGCTTAACAAAATCCTGGCAGGCATTTGGGTTGAAAACTTATAGATTCAGATTTTTATCATACATACAGGCTTAATCGTATTGGGTTTACTCATATAAAACACAATAATATGATGTACATTTAAATGACATCATTCAGCAAGGTTGAACTAAGGGACAACATCAAAAGTTCAATGTAAGATAAAAAACTTAATTCCTTTAGTTTTTTCTCATCTTTTGACGTTGTCCCTAACAGAGATTGTAACAAATTATTCCTAGTCACTAATGATATTGAAAGAGTATTATTCACTGAAGTCAATGTTCATCACATGTACCTACCATCACTGAGCAGAGATCTTTTCTTTCTAGCAGCAGCAACAGCATTACAACCATAACCTGAGAATTATGAATAAGAAGATGAACTCAGTCACAGCAGCTCCATGGAGTTTAAAAGTAAAGATAGATTATACATGTGAATGGTTTATCATTCTAAGAATAAATCAATTTTATTTATACAAAGAGTTTGTTTGTACATGTTTATATTATTGGAAATTTGTCAAATAAAAGAAAACTGTCTGTGGGCTCATTGGTTTTGATTACTGTAGAACTGGAAATTATTTGTGAAGTTTAAATTATATGAACTGGATAGAGTGCTAATCAATAGAGATGCAGTTTATTTTGCAAATTTTGACAAATTTCACTTTTTTTTATTTTTTATGGCATTGTATGAACATCTGTATTCTGTGAAAATTTGAAATTAAAATCATTAGTTAAATCCAATGGCGATGTAAATCAGCATATATTTTTACTTAACTATAAAATTTGCAAATTAGCAATTATTTCAGCTTCTTTTTAGTGCACATTCCAGAACTTTAAAAAAAAATAGCTCCTAGATGCTTTGACCTTTGGAAATTTTCACAAATGATTGATAATGTGTCGGAGCATTGTTTTTGGTTGAACAGTGTTACAATAATCGTACAGACAACTAGCCTGGGTGTTAATTTACGTATAAACTTGAATTAGTGAAATTTGAGCTGCTGCCCTGCAAAATTGACAACTGGTAGACAGTTTTCAAGACGGCACTTTCTTCATAGTAAACAGATGTACCCGTAAACCAATTTTGACAGGAAACAGAGGCATGGTTTAGAAGCTAATTTTTTTTAAATCACTTTTGACCAAAAAAACACATTTTTGTGCATATTTCAAACTACAGTGTCCATAAAAAACATAGTTGAACTCTGGTGACCTTGCCCTTTGTTATATAATATAATTTCCTCTATCACAGTTTGTTTCAATATAAATATGCATTGTCATAATTAATTTTGAATACAAACAAGTTTTGGGGTTGAACCAACAGTGGGGAATCAGTCTACCAAATGTCCTTAAAAGATGTAAATATCTTACAAAAACATTGATGCCTTATTTGTTTAATTATTTTAAAGGACATAATTTCCAGTTTTATTCAAAGTAATTCAGATATTTTAGTATAAAAATAAATGCCTCATCGCAAAAAAAAAAGTTCTGCATTTAGACGTGAATAGATTTATAAAACATGCAAGATACAGTCAAACCTGTGTTAACGACCACCTGTGCAGAGCGGCCACCTGCTCATAGCGACCAACTTAGTACAGTTCCTTCGCAATTTACACGTTAAAGACACTGGATATAGCGACGACCTGTCCAACGCGACCAGCGACCACCCTATTGTAGACCTATTCACACTTTAACCTTTGTATAACAACCACCAACATTTCCGTCAGATGGTATCAGCAAAAAGACAATACCTACTTGCGAATCGCTAACAGGAAAGTGGCCATGTGTTACGTTCAGATTACCGAGTACGCAATCTTTAGAGCTAAGAGACAGGGGTGACCATCGTAACTTGGTTTGTAAAGTTGCGAAAAAGTAAAAACAAAAAGTTGAATATCATCTGAATGTAATGTCTGGCGACTGGAAAATGTTTACCAACAAATTAAAACAGTTTCATTTAAAGTTTGAAATGATAAACTAGCTTGTTTCCATTGGTACTTTTCTATCGATCCCCAGCCGGCCAGTGGCACTTCTATGGACTGTCTCGCACATGAAGAGCAAATTCCTCCCGTCTCAAAAACAAAATAAACAAATGAACCAGTTTTATTAAATGAGAGATGTTTTATTTACCTTGTCGACATGAAATATCCAAACAAAATTATAAAACATTCGTTTATTTCGTTTTCATCGCGGATTGCAAAATCCAACCTATTTTGGCTGCCATGTTGTTTGTTGTTGATCGTTATAAATTATGCTAATGAAGCTAGTGCATGGGCAAAACGTATTGTTATTAAGGTAGAAGCCTAGTCATATTTTTTGACAAAATTGGTCATAAATCGCATGACAATGTTCATTAGTTTATTATGTACAATGATGAAGCTAATGTCCCATGGTATAATGAAATAGCATTATTTTGTGTGTTACAGTTATGCTTTTTGAGAAACGTGTCCCAATATTACTTAAAAATTGCTATTTTTAGAACAATTCCATAGAACATAATGTTAAAAGAAAATTGCATTTTTTGACACTTTTTAAAACCCAAATTTTTTTAATAATTCAGAACAACAAAAGGTACCCCATCATTAACAATATATGACCAGGCTAGATTGTGAGATATTGCATAATATCTCTGCCATAGGAACTTATGGTAAAAGTGTTATAATAGTGTCAAAATGGCGACTTTCCACTAAAATTACAACCACTCGTTTCTCGAAAAAGAGGCTGGTGACCGCCAACTTTTTTAAAATAAATTCTGGGTTTTTTAATTTATGAGTAGGCTTCTACCTTAAGGGGTCATCTCAGGGTTATTCTCAACGAAAGATGTTTTCTATTTTGATCCTCTTTTTTTTTTTTATAAAAGATAATATCAATAATTCACAATCGAGAAAATTCATTTCATTTGGGCAGTTTTGACACGTCGATGCTTGCAACAAATAACTGTAAAATTGCGTGTACGATCATCGTGTTTCATTTCCGGTTCGTTTGATTTTCTGATTCAACACCGACAGTTGGAGCAATCGTTATGAGTTTGGTAAATTTTGTTTATTACCAATGCTTCTTCATTTTTAATGCTTGTTTGTTTTTTCAAACATGGCAACTTTGCCTGTGCATTTTGTCACAGTGTACAATCGACAATACTAACGATGGGACTGATTACCGCCTGTGATGGAATATGTGTAAGAGACGAGGGAATAAGACTGCATGGCGAGGGTGTGAAAGACCGTGCTGAAACGCCAATGCGGCCGATCGTTGACAATCGTTCTTATGCATTAAATACACGAATGAATCCATGGGCAGAATCACTTGGTTCCAGTGAATTTACATGATATAATTTGTAGCTGTGTAATTATCCAGATGAAAATGAGTGACTTTTATTAAAAAAGACCTGTTCATTGTACAATGTGTAGGTTTGCTTTTGTGTTTTACTTATGATCTCCCTTAAAATTCCCGCCCTAATTAATATTCATGATTGAATGAATAAATTAGGCCACCTCTATATAAAGACCACCTGTCTATAAAGGACAGTTTGGCTCAGTCCACTGACTGTCCTTTATAGACAGGTTTGACTGTAGTAACTTTATTTGATTTCAAGAACTTCAAGAAGGCGGCATAAGAGACGTGTTTGCAAAGGTAAGTTCTCCAGTTTCAGCAAAATTGAATGTTTATTGGGGTACGATTGGTGTACATTCCGTGACGTACAGACGTCAATATTATGATGATTGCCAGCTTTATATTCTTGTGAAAAGCCAAAAAAGCAAACAATTGTCTCCAATCTACGAAACTAGTTCGTAAACTGTCAAATTATTGTACATGGGGACATAGCTTTCAACTAAATCGATATCGGG